TTGTAGAATCCGTAATTTATAAGATTGGATTGGATTACAAAAATTATAAAACGCGGTTTTGGTGTTTGTCTTTGGGATGAAGAGTCGGACTTCTTAATCCTTAACCAATAAGAAAAAATCATCAAATAGAAGATTGGAGAAGGTCGCCGTGTCGACCAATGATTAATTTAAATTTTGCTATGATATTTGTGCAATTAACGTTATGTAACTGGGAACAGATAAGCAAATCAATTGAGAAAGTTATTATAAGGTGACTATGATTTAGTATGATTTGTGACACATGGACTCAGAACATTCCTTTGAATTCTTCTCATGCCGACACTATAATTCTAAGCATTCAAAAAAAAAAAGAGAATGGTTAGGAGAATAATCTTCGAATTTTGGGCAGCCTTGACATGGATTTACACAGCTTATTAGGCCTTTTAAGCCCAATAATATATTTAAAGTTCATAACTCAAAAGGCCCATTAAGTATGCGTCTTATCTTCTAGACGAGATTCAAAGCCTCCTCCTTTCGAGAAGCTTTCAAATCAAAATTGCAATTAATCAAATCTCATTTAAATTAACGCGTAAATCGTCAGAGATTTTGGACTTTCCCTTAAAACTGCATTTTCTTCCGCGTAATTTCCCGAGAAAATCCATTTTTCAGAAAAGGAATAAAAACTCTTTGAAATTGAATCAGATTCATCTTCTTCATAATACTTCTTCTCTTCGCGTTTTTGCTTCATCGGAATCGCTTTGACCGTACAAAAAACTAAGGATGTCGAAAGAGGGACAAACGGTAATCGGAGTTCCGTATTACGCCGGACATAACCCGTATCAGGCCGGAATTGTGCCGCCGAACGCTATCTATGGTGATCCGTTGGGTGCTCCGATCCAACAAACGATTTATCGCGACACTCCTGCTCCTTTCAATTGCCTCTATTGCGGCAATACTGGTCTCACCAATCTCAGGTATTTTATAGTTTTTTCTTATACGATCTTAGAGTTTCTTTTCGTAATCCTCGATTATTGATCATCTTTTGTGAATCTGCAATCGGAATTTTCGGATCCATTTCAATTGATCCTGTTCTTGGATCTCTGTCAAAGGTGGTTCTTCTACTGATGCGAATAAAACTATAGCCAGTGGTTTTGAGTATTGAGATGTGGAATTTAGATTGTTTGATTGATTGATTCTTCGTAGTTTGGGTTTTTGGTTTCAGGATTCTCAATCTTGTTAATTTCCAACTGCCTGTTTCATTAGCTATACAATGTTTGATCCATGGCAAATTTCTTGCTTATTCGATATGTTCTTGTGTATATGAACAAATTATTTCAAAACATGTAGTATCAATTGGCAAGCAATGTTTTTGCCGCCATTGATCCAGCTAGTTCTTGTTGTGCGTCAATGGTTTAAACTCTCAACTTATACGCTTAAGCTAAAAGGATAAAGCTAGGCCCTTTGTGTTATTTCTTTTTTCTTCTGTTGATTACAATGTCTTATAACCTTGATAATTACCACTCATCTCCCCATTACTGGATTACAAATTTGCGCTCGAAGCAGCTCATGAAGTTAATTTTCTTCGCATTTTCTCGTTTCTTGGCATTCATGTTTAGGGATTACAAAAGGAATTTTTGGAGCATGAAACTGTACTATGTGCATTTATCTTTTTTCTTACCTTGTCTTTGTTTGTGTACATTTTATTATGTTTGGAAATTGAAACAGATCGAAACCTGGTGTAGCAGCTGTTGTTGCTTGCATGATGCCGTTTTTTCTTGGATTCTGCTTTCTATGCCCTTCAATGGATTGCCTCTGGAACAAACAGCATCATTGCCCTCAGTGTGGGAACAAGGTAATTTAATACTACTATAT